AACTTATTTTTATTTCTACTAGTGCACATTTTTTAGGCTAATGACTGTCCATTCTGAAATGTGGAGTATTGGATTGTTATTGGGTATGTAATGGATGGGACAAATTTTTATGTTATGAATTCAACTACAGTACATGAACTACCATTTTTTATGCAGAGGTATAGTCTCCAGTAGTAGGCATAGTCTGCAGTAGTAGGTACAGTCTGCAGTAGCACCGTAGGTATAGTCTGCAGCAGTAGGTACTTATAGTCTGCAGTAGCAGGTACAGTCTGCAGTATTAGGTAGTGTCTGCAGTAACACCGTAGGTATAGTCTGCAGTAGGTAATTATAGTCTGCAGTAGTACTGTAGGTACAGTCTGCAGTAGCACTGTAGGTACAGTCTGCAGTAGCATCGTACAGTAGGTAATTATAGTCTGCAGTAGTTAGGTACGATCTCCAGTAGTAGGTGCAATAGGTATTGCAGTCTGAAGTAGTAGGTACAGTCTGTAGTAGGTACTTATAGTCTGCAATAGTACGTACAGTCTTCAGTAGCTACAGGTAGGCATAATTATTTTAGTGTTTTTAAAATTTATTCTGTGATGTATTTCCTTTTGGACAATACAGGTCTCCCTCCAATTAAAGACCATGTTTGGGATCAGGGTTTCGTTAGTCTTTAGCAGCATTGGTCTGTAATTAGAACAATAAAGATAAAAGACTTATTTTGGACCACAGAAAAGTTGGAAAGCATTGCCCTCTTTAAAGATATCAATAACTAAATAAGAGCTATAACTTTTATAACTACAAAATGAGTCTCATCGTTAGAAAATCAAAAAATGAGCTTATATTACATTTTGGTGGATCACACATTATAAGCTTTAATTTTGTCTTTGAATAGCTTCCGTAGGATAAATAGATCCAGAGATGTTAGCATTCAAAGTATAGGTGTATGAGAACCAGGTATTGAGAAAATCAGCCTCAAAGATTAACTAACCTGTACAAATAATAGGACTAGAATTACAGAATATGCGAAGAGAACACTGTTTTAGTAAGAAAATTCACTTAAAAAGTACACAATCATAAAATATAAGTATCAAATTATTCAAAAACATTAAAATCAAAATTTTGTAAAAATATTGCCTTTGACCTATTTTGGTGAATATCTCAATATGATTTCACCAATGATTTCGTGGTGAGACCTCGCATATGATTTTCTCCCATTCTCCATTAACATGCGTCATCCCAAAGTGTTCATTTTTATATACTTTAAATTTATAGTTAGATAGTGCCGGGCAAGGAACAATGTAAGCAGAATCTTAACAAGGCTTTAATCAACAATGATTTGTATGTCTTCACTATTCATTAAAAGTATAGAACATTCCACCTACGGTGTAGCAGTCTGCAGGCAGGTAATTTATAACGTTGTTTGTTCATAGCTCGGTCTCGCCCATAGTGTTTTAAATTTCCTTTACAGTGCAATGCGATCCAAAAACGATATATAAAAGTTAAAAAGAACACAGAATCCTGTCGCAGGATTATACAGGCTAGTTTATTGGAAATTTCAATGTTATGTTAAAGGGATTTTTTGATTCGATAGGCTAATTTGTTGGAGTAATATTATTATATGTGAGAATGATTAGACTATTGCGATATATATGATTTTTTTTTTGATTTTTTTTTTTTAAAGTTTTGGGCAGCATAGTTTCTACATTATGCCCACAGCTAATACAAGTAACACAATCAGAATGACTACTAATGTATTTTAAAGCAACTTAGTGAAAAGCCTAATGTATTTAACAACAAGTATTAGTACTGTAAAAGATATGTAAAAATAATAAATTATATTTCTATAATATTAGATAGTATGTAAATTTGGTAAGGCAAAACAAAAAAGTATTTCCAAATTTATATATTTTTATTTTAAAACATAGAATACATTACAATTATATTTAGATTAATGTTGTAATGCGTGTAGGTAGGCATTACTTTAAGTGTATGCAAATTCTGTTAATTACCATATTTTCTTACACTACTTTGATGATTAGTCAACTTTATTTGCATTACTTAATAGTTTAAGTTTCAAGTTGCATTTATGTTTGCATTACTACCCACTGATTTAAGTTTCATGTTGCAACTGTATTAGACCTATTCATGTATCTTATACAGCAATGTTCATTTAACAATACATTCAACCTATCTTTTTACCAAACTTCCTACTTAATGGCATATTTTAGTAGAAATATTTAAACGAATATCTAACTAGACTTGCAAGTCATAATTATTTTATCTATCCATCTATAAATATTCTGTTATAAAATTAATGGCCCATCCTTTGAAATTTATCTTAGTGTAATATGGAACTTTAGAAAGAAATTTGCAATAGTCAATACTAAATTAGTGCTATCAGTAATACAACATAGATTGTTCAGGATTATGGCAATTGTTTTAGGGTAGCCATTTTCCTTTTCCTCATCTCGATCAAGGTAAATTATGTTTGATTTATTCCTATTCTTTGATATTTGTAGCCAATAATAAAAGCCAATTAAAGCCCACAAATTGCTTGTGATTAGAAAGAGACTGAACAAGTAATAAATAGGGATTTCCGGAGCCTTCTGCATGTCAGGCTTGTAATTTATGTGCGCATTGGATCAGCGATTCCTACGAGTTTGTTTGTTGTTCGAGCGTCATTACGACTGATGGGGCCCAGTGCTTGCACAACAGTCCTTGCTTTGACCTAATGTTCACATAGTTCAAAAACAACATTAGCACATATTGTAATTCTGCTGACCAAGAATACGTGTCATTAGTGTTTAAATGTTCAATATGTTATGATTGGGAAGCCAACAAGCTAACATTAGTGGTAATAGCTGTACAGGAAACCACAAAGCATTACCAAGGCTTATTTCTACACATAAATTCCATGGATTGAAAAGCTGTTTCTCGAGTTTAATGGATTCTTGGATAATTAGGTAGATTGATATGCAAACCAATCCATGTCTCTAGTTTAATGATACAATATATCGTCCACGCTTAATTTTAGAAAACCACAAATTGTATATTAAATCAATTATTTGCACATTTAATAGGATCAAATTTGCTATGAATTTCTAACGAAACACAACATAAAACATTTCAAATCCGTTAATTGGTAAGAAAAATAATAATTCATTTTACTTAAAGGTACAAAGTAAAAAATATTCAAATTGAAATTTATTTTTCAAGTTTGTATTTCTACACATAAATGCAATGCATTAAGGAGGTGTCTCCTCAATTTAATGGATTCCATTATAATTAGGTATTTTGATATGTAAACCAATTAGTGTTTATAGTTTTAACTGCCAAGATATGAACTGATGATATACAGATGTAAAATTAGATACGATGTGAGGATAGATGAATAGGGACTGAATGACCGGTGATTAAGATCAGTTCAAATATGATAACGTAACATAGTATTCTCTTGAACGGGATTAGTAGGATATCAGTGTATTGGACACCGTTCTTTTTATTGGTTGGTAACCATATACTATTCAGTATTTTTGATAGCAATCGTGTGGAAACTAAGAACTCTATTTACCTGTGAAATCAATTGTAAGTTAATTGTTCTCTTTTTAGCAGCGATACAGTCATCTCTTTGCTGCATTTCTTTTTTATATTGTTGTTAACAAGCAATTAAAGTGCTTTATTGGCTTTAATTTCTATGATTTAATTTTTTCCAGATTTTTCACCCCAGACTTGTATTTTTCTTTTGTCTATCTAAACCAAACTTTTCATAGTTTTCAATATTGTTTAATGGTAACATAGTAACTTTAAAATTATGCTTTTTTGTTGTTTTTTTTCTTTTCATTTTTTAGGTGTAAAAACATATTGAGAAATTTCATGGGCTTTGGGAGTTAGTTCTCAAGAGACTTACCCTGTGTGTCGTCTTTATTAAGTTCTTTTGAACAGCGTGCACCCAAAGTGTGAACTTATATTTGAATCTGGTTTATTATTGTATCAATGACACGTTCTACTTTCTATTGTTTGCGTTATGGGTTTAATGACAGACGACTGTCTATTGTTCATCCTTGCATACCATTCACATCTCCACATTAACAAGTTCTCAACATTGAGGGTGCTCTATTTTGCAATACCCAGTGTATACCTCATTGGCAGTAATTATAGCTGGTTGATCTAGCATGTTGTATATATTATAGCAAGTAGATCACACACTTAATTGGAAGCTTCCATGCGACCTATGTTACAGTATCAAGTAACAGTTAAACATGGTATATTATGTGATATCAGCTTTGATATATTGAATACACAATGTTAAATTCTTTGTAAGGTATATTAAGACTTGAATAGAACTACTTGAACATCTATACTAGTATTTATTAAAATGCCTGAGCACTGTTAAATTAAAAAAACTCTGCAATACAAATGTACATTTTTATTTTACAACAAAACAAAAAAACAAGACTTTAATTTAGAGCATTAAGAACCACACGAATCAGTTACTGGATTATCCCATGTTTATTTTTAAATTTATTTATTTAACTTATTTTATTTTTTAAAATTTATTATATATTCTGTCCTTAAAGTAATAGTACTATCAGTAACATAGCACTGATCTTACTGGTAGGTCACATGAACAAGAAAAGAAATAAA